TTCCGATTACTCGCTCAAAGGGGCAGGTGGAGCAGCCCGCGACGGATACCTCGAGCCCACCTGGGGCACTCGAGGCTATCACGGCGCCTTTGACGTCGGCGTTGGCGACCCTTGAGGACTCGGCCGTGGTTCATGGACGTGAAGCCAAGGAATTGAAGAGTGCCACGACAGATGCTTTGGTCAACGCCTGGCGGGACGCTAAGAAGACTACCGCACAACTGGCGGAGAAACTGAATCGAGGTAATTCGGATCTCTTAGAGGGGATTAACCAGTCATTTGCGTTAGTGGGTTCTCGTATGGAGCAATTCCCATTGGTTGCAACTTGCTGCCCTGATGGGCTCTCGTCCAGAATCGTCCCATTTTCGGGTACTTCTAATTCACAATCCTTTTCATTGTGGTTGCGCCGCCTAGAGGACTCAATGCGCTTACGCAAAATTGTTACAGCGGAGGATAGGGCTAACTATTTAGTTGCGCATTTAGAGTCTGTTGCCAGGGAACGTGTTGAAACTCTATCCTCGGAGGATAAGCTCGACTATGGCGCAATTGTGGCCCTATTGCGCAAGCACTACGAAGGGCCCAAGCAGATGGCGGATGCCAGACAAGAGTTGTCGTCGTGCAGACAGGCCGCGGGTGAGTCTATCTCTGCTTTTGCATTTCGCCTTCTTAACTTACTACGTACTGCAACAGGTAAGGACCCTTCTCTTAATGATGAAGTGTTCCTTCAAGAATTTTTGCAACGATTGAATTCTGACTTACGTTTTCATGTTAAGTATGCTAACCCGTCATCTTTTGAGGAAGCAGTGGCCGAAGCCGAACGAGTCGAGAACCTATTGGCTGAAGCTTCTAGGGATCGACTTATTCACCCGTCTCAGGTGTCTCAACCGGTGACCGTGAGTTCCATTAAGCCTTTCACCCGTTCTTCATTTGATAATTCTACTGTTAATCGTAACCAGCGTCCTTCCAACCCCTTTCGCTCTAGAAGCCCTTATAGCAGGAAAAGCTATCCAGGTAGAGTAAGACCAAATGCTAATCATGTGCGATTTCAGGAACCAATGGAACAAAGGCCTCAGGACAACATGGCGGGTATTTTCTGCTATAACTGTGGCGGTCGAGGACACGCTATTCCTGAATGCCCGTCAAGGAGGCGACAACGTCAGCAAACAGGTAGGTTCACATCACGTTTTCTAAGATCGCGCAGCCCTAGATTTCCTTTCCGTTCTCGTTCTCCAGCTTTTAACCGTAGAGCTTCTCCTAACTTGCTTAGTATTTCGCCTCATTCTAATAGTGAATTAGAAGATGCGCGTGAGCAAATTGAATCTCTATCTCTATCCTTGAAACAAAATCAGGCAGCTCTCGAAAATTCTAACGCTCGCATTTCGGCACTCGTGCAACGAAACGAAGAGCTTGCCCACTCAGCTTTTAATCATTCCTCTACATCACCTTCCACGTCTACTCTTCCTAAAGTTAACGCTTTGTTTTTCGCTTCTGTTGTTATGTCCTGCTGTATCTTCTCTGCTTACTCTCAGCCTGTGTGGCTGTGTCCACACGATAAATCTGATCCACTTAGTCATATCCCTCTTACATATAACTGCTCCTATCTAATTCCTAACATAACTAATCCCCCTGTTCGCGCTACTCTTCATGTTTACCGACCTAATTCTAAGCGCTACGACACTCCGGCTACTTTGTGTAGAATAGTAGAGCAGTCGGTTACTTATTCCGCAAACTTTTTTGGGGCGCGCCATCAAACACATTCAGAAACTTATAAAACTGTTACGGTAGAACATTGTAGGCAGATGAAACAGCACCATAAATGCGAGTTTGGGGTTATGCATCCGGCAGGGGAGTCTTTTAAGACAGATAATCCTCTCACTTTTGAATTTCCCTTAGCACCTTTTGGCTGTTGTTCGGAACATCATTTATCAGTAACTAATTGCTACCTAACCCCTACAATGGTGCATGCGCGTCATGGGTCTCAGTCTCCCGACACCGCGGTCGGTGATCTCCGGCATTGCTCGTACAAGGATGGTTTTTGCACGCTTAAAGACGGGTCGGTGCTACTTTGGACACCAGCTCAGGAAGAACTTTGCGCGTTTATTCCCATCTCCAAAATGCATGGCCACTTGCTAGGAAACATCTGGATAAGCGACTCGAAAGAGTTTGCTTTATCTTGGCGTAGTGACAGTTCTACTCTAGTTGACTGCGGTACTTCCCTAACAGTTACCGACCAGGGTTATGCAATTGCTAAAGCTAAGCGGCTAGCACGTTCCACGCAAACACAAGTAGGGATAGTAACATCCAATCAACTCGCAGCTCGATTGCTAGCCGTAGAGGATAGCGTTCAGAGCTCTCTCACCACTCTTTTTCACCATGCTTTGGCTTCTTTGTGTGATCGTACCAATACTCTTGCTTTCTCGCTCCACTCTTCTCTCAAATCCGATCCAACCTATACCGTGCGCAAGTTAATTAACCGCGTTGAGTTGCAGCTTCTTACTTAGGGAATGGTTTTGTACAAATCCATAATTGTATGCGTATTCCTAAGGCTAACTATCGTATTTTACCTTTCAACTCTACATGCTATACCAAACCCCAAGTTCAGTTGGCTTTGCCTAGTGGATCTTCTTGGGTCACCTTCATTGATCCTCATAATTGGGTACTTACTTCCAACGCTGATCCGTTACCTTGCGCCAAACTCCGCCCCTTTTACTTCTCTCTTCCTGATGGAGTTCTCCGGTATGATGCACCTTCCCACTCATTCTCTAAAATATCTAATCAACACATTCACAATATCACATTGGCTTCCGTTTCCCATGATGTTAATTTCATTCCATCCCTTACAATCTTTCACAATCTAGTGCTTACAAATTTCAGCGAGCTCGTGCAAGAGCATCAGTTACAAGAACTTTGGACAGCTCAGAATTTTCACAAAATTATTGGTGCATTAGGTAACAATTATTACTCTTCTCAAGTCTCTCCTGATTCCCAATCTGGTAGCAGCTCTTCTCTTCTATTTGCCCTGATAGGGTTTTCCCCGTACAATGCTTGGATAACTATTTGCTGCATAACTGTGACTTTAGCAATTCTCAAGAAGTTAATTCTTTTGTATATCAACGTATCCTATGCTGGTATTCTCTCACGCATAGCTCCTTCTAATTCGCGCACCCAGCTGCGTCCGCTTCCTCTCATGTATTCATCCTCTAGCAACCCATTTCCTATACCTTCTTGGGCGAATACTTTAGAGGAACAACCCATCGAGCTTACTCGTCTTGCGCTAGACTCTTCGCACGCATGGCCACCTAAGCTAACAATAGCTCCAGTTCACGTCTTATCTTTGTATGATAATACTCATTTCTTTGTGGCGCAAATTCCTATCAAAGCAAATGGTATAGCAGTATTAGGCCTCATTGACACTGGTGCCGCTATCTCCGTCGCAAGCCGTGAATTAGCAACCTTGATAGGTATTTTCCATTTCGACCGCAGCCCAGTAGACACCGCCATTGGAATGGCGGGCATACCGATAGGCCTCTTAGGATGCGCGCGCCTTAATCTCCAGATAGGGTCGCATCACATCTCTGCTGCCGTACATTTTACGGATAAATCTTCATTTCCCTATCACGCAGCCTCTTTTAATCTCATCCTAGGTAACAACGTATTGTCCCAACTCCCACCTTGGTCCATCGATTACACAAATCATACTTTTACTATTAATGGCGAGCAAATCCGAATTTTTGGCACTGTGTCGCAACGGCTGCAAGCGGAAGTAGAAGGAGATGTAATCGTTCGTGTTTCAAAAACAACACCTTTACAACCTGGAACCGAAACGTATGTGCCGTGCTATACTTCTTCGAGTCCCACGGTGCCGGTCATGCTGGTGACGCAATCCGAGGACCTACTCCAGCGCTCGCTACTGATTTCTCCTACTGTATTCACCGCAGGTACGATTCACCTATTAGTTTCAAATCCTACTAGTAGTCCCCAAGTGTTGTATAAGAATCAGAGAATTTCTACTGCGGTTCCATTAGTAGAGGAGAATGGGGTGCTTTCGGACCCTCGGTGTTTTTAGCATGAGTTTGTTTGCCTTACAACCTCTTGCTGCGGCTGATCGCTGTCCCCTTCCAGAACCCAAAGCTGATTTTGTCATTGACCTTACCAGGTCCGAAGTTTCTGACAAAGAAAAAGAGCAGTTACAAGCTCTCTTTTACGAGTTTCGCGATAGGATATCCCAAAGTTCCTATGACCTAGGTTCATACGATTGCGAGGCAATCCACATTAAGACAACTACCGAAATTCCTCCTACTAGGTTCCGACCTACCCGTATCCCGGTTAAGTTCCAGAAGGAACTTGACGACCACATTAACAAGTTGTTGAAAGCCGGTAGGATTAGGGAGAGTGTTACCCCATGGGTTCATAACACGGTTTTGGTTAAGAAGCGCGATGGCACCCTTTGCGTTTGTCTCGATTTTCGCCCACTAAACGATATTACCATCCCCGATCATTACCCTTTACCCCGTATCGACGATATCCTAGAAAAAATTGCGGGTAACAGGTATTATACTTCCCTTGACCTAGCATCTGGGTACATGCAACTTCTACTTTCACCAGAGAGTCAAGCCAAATGCGGTTGGGCAACGCACCGCGGAATTTACCAGTTCGTTTATCTCCCCTTTGGACTCAAAAACGCCGGCGCGTATTTCTCTCGCGCCATGTCCCGTATCCTGGCCGGTTTGGAAGAGAATTGCCTGGCATACCTGGATGATATTGTCATCTTCGACAAGGACTTCCCAAGCCACCTAAATTCTTTGCGTAAAGTATTCCGCCGCTTTCGCGATTTCGATATCAAGGTATCAGGCAAGAAACTGGTTGACATCGCGCGTTCCAAAATCACCTTCCTGGGGCACGAAATTTCAGGAGATAGTTATTACCCTTGCGATAGGAACATTCAAGCGGTTAAGCGCCTCCCGACCCCTTCTACAGTCAAAGAAGTCAAATGTTTTCTAGGAATGGTTAACTTCTTTCGAAAGTTCATACAAAATTTCGCCGCCATAGCAGCACCCCTGTATGAACTAACCAAGGACAAAGCAAAATTTGAATGGGGTCCGCGCCAGCAACAAGCTTTTGACGAACTACGGAATAAACTCATAACCAAGCCATGTTTGGCGTTCCCTCAAGAACGTGATTTTATCCTCCACACGGATGGTAGTCAAGTTGCCGTAGGCGCCGCATTATTCCAGCAAGCAGCCAGCGATGAGAAATCCCTATTAGCTATTGGCTATTACAGTAAAGCTCTATCCCAGTCTCAACAAAAGTGGAGTCCCACTCATATAGAACTTTTTGCAATGGTAAGCGCTCTTCGTTTCTTCAAAGCCACTATTTACGGCCATTTGACCCGTATTTTTTCTGACCACCGCCCACTGACGTATCTTCTCAAACACAATAAGACCCATGATAATTTAGCGCGATGGGTAATAGAGTTGCAAAGTTATAACATAACCATAGAATATTTGAAGGGATCATCAAATGTTGTGGCCGATTGCCTTTCACGATCAGTCAACCCTCAGACTCAGTTTCAGGATAACACCCCAGAGTCTGAAGACATAGTAGAATTTCCTATGTGTCTAGCGGTACAAGGTTATTGTTTGCGTTCTCTCCAACCAACCAATTCCTCCCTTGTTACTCCAATCGCGATTAAGCCCTATGATGCCTTACTAGAGCAGAAGCGCGACCCAGTTTGTAGCCCTATCATGTCGTTCCTGGAAACAGGACAATTTCCCGAAAATGTCTCGGAAACAGATAAGGCCCAATGGCTTCGCTTAGCTGAAGATTGTCACCTACGCGCAAATGGTTGTTTGTACCATCTTACCAAGTCCCCCCAGCGCCCCGACGCCGTTATAGAACAACTCTTCTTACCGGAAAAACTCCGTGAACCAGTCTTTCACGCAATGCACACCAGCGCTACAGCTGGCGGACATTTTAATTGGCGCAAAACTTTAGCGAAAATCGCGCGAAAATACTTTTGGCCACATATGTCCGAGCAGATTTTCGCCCTCTCCAAGGCGTGTGATTCCTGCCAACGCAAACGCGCCCAGGCACTCAATCGCGAGAAATTACTCCCAGTAGTCACCACAACCGTATTCGATAAAGTTTATATGGACCTTACCGGTCCTTTACACACTTCCGAATCAGGTAATAAGTACGTGTTGGCCCTGTTGGACCACTTCTCCAAGTATGTTATCACAGCACCCTTACCGGATTGCAGCGCGGTCACAGTAGCTCACGCCATTATGACTGAATGTATACTCAAATTCGGTGTCATGACACAGCTTATTTCAGACAATGCCTCCTACTTCAAAGGAGAGCTCATATCCGAGATTGGACGGTTGCTACGCATTGGACGATATTTCACTACCCCGTATCGCCACGAAGGCAATGGAGCTTGTGAGCGTATTTTTGCTACTTTTCATCCTATGCTTCGTACTTATATTAATGAGAATCAGACTGACTGGGACAAATTTGTACCGGTCTGTGCCTTTATGTACAATACTTCTGTTCATACTAGTACTAATAATACTCCTTTCTTTTTGATTTTTGGACGTGATCCTGTTTTTAACATTGATTTGCTTATCAAGCATGATTCTCAGAGACACACGCCTACTGATCAAGACTCTAGTATTTATCTCGAGAACTTAGTAGCTACTCTCCATGCCGCTTGGCGCGCTGCCGCCAAACATAACGAAGTTCAGCGCAACAAGTTCAAGTCTCAGTTTGATAATACGCATCTCTCTCCATTATCCATTAAAGTTGGCGATCGAGTTTATTTACGTGATTTTGCTCCTAAGGTTGGACTTTCTGCTAAGCTAGCTTATCCTTGGTTAGGACAGTTCCGCGTTTTGGAAGTCAATCATCCTCATCTTACCATACTTAGCATTACCGCACCACAGTCTAAACCTAAAATTGTCCACATGAATCAAGTTAAGCGCTGTTTTGAACTTAGTGGTCCTGTATTTACTACTCCTTGGCAGCCAGAGCCTGAACAATTAGCCTTAACTCATCATCAAGCCATTGATACTGATCTGGTAGGATATCAGCATCAAACTCTAGCTGATCATCCATTGATAGAATCTGAGCCGCCCCCATCACATCCGCATAACACCCGCTTTAGATCACGAAGAACATCACTTTAACCTGTTGGTTGCCCTCCCAGTACACGATATCATTCATATGTGGATTCAGAATTATTTCTTCCCAACACGTTTCATTTTTACAAACACTTGTGATTTCATCACAGATTTTCTTATGTCCTCCTCATTACAGTTCTCGCGTATAGTGTTCGTGATTAGTAATATCTATCGTCGTCTTATAACCTCGTGCTTCTCGCTTATCTTCGCATCGTTTGTCTTCCTAACATCGAACAGATCACTATATTCTTTGCTTGCAGATAAGCTTGGCGAAAAGCCCCTTGCGTTCGTATGTCTTCGCTAACTCCAGACGCAAACGATCCTGGCCCCGGGCAGCCTGCTAATCCTAGCGCTAGCCCTGCTGGGCCCTCACCAGTGACATCCTCGTCAGGTTTGTTTAGCTTTCGCAAGCCGTGACTCGGCATGCTTTCAAGTGATCATAAGATTCCCTTTCCATACAATTCTTCGTTTACCTTCTGCTCGTATAATTGGGACGTTCTGTCGTTTAGGATTACCCGGCGAGGCTATGGAATGCGACTCGACAGTTACTCCTACACCAGCTGCAGGCATGGAACAACTAACCGCGCCTACTCATGTGCCACTCACCTCCGAGTCGAGAGAAATGGAAGCATTAATGTCCACTTCCACCAGTGCCGAGCGTGAATCTTCCTCAACCTCTGATCTTGGGGTCCCCGCACGCGAGGAGCATGACAGCGAATGGCTTTGGCTTGAAGATCGTCTTGACCAGTTTGATAGCTACATTCGTGATCCTCGCGCAGCGAAGAAGCGCATGGCTCATCTCTTTAGAGTTGCTTGTTCAGCACTCGCTGCGGCCGAATCGTCTACTGAAGAACCTTGAGCGGAATCTCATCCTCTCATACGCCCTGGCAGTTTCTCGCTCGTTATCGACTTCTTGCAAGTACCTGATGGTGCTTACCCAGTTCTTCCTCTCAAGACATCGTTATTCTCCTCACCACCCGAACTGATTTTGAGCCTACTTCTGGCGAGTTCCTAGATGACCAGAAACGCATGAATGTTGCGCTCACCCGTTCCCGCCAAGGTTTGTTCGTGCTTGGCCATACTGATTCACTTCGTCGCATCAACTTCTGGAACCGAGTGTTAGCCTGGGCCGAAGAACGCCACGCCGTGGTACCTGCTGCTCAACTGGACCAGTATCTTCCTCCTGGACAACGGTGGGATTTTCATAATTAGTTCTCTTTATATATATTTACACCTTCATTATATATTTCGTGGTTTTCTTTATATCCATTCATACTATTTGTTTATATTTTATGATATGCTACACCTTTATTTATACACTTTCGTATATACTTCTTTATATAATTCTTTTCATATACTTTGCTTTACATACTTTTTCTTAATTAGAAGTCCGAGGACGGACTTGTTGGTAAATAAGGGAGGTGTAAGGGAGATGCTTTTGCATCTCCGTTTGCATCTCCGATGGAATGCCAGAAGACATGATTCATATGTTTAAAGCGTGACCGACGATACGAAGCCTCGAGGAGTCGCTCCTTCGCCCCGACACCGACCGGCCGTCCTACCGTACCCCTCCACGTCTCTGGCTGATGCTGTTCCGATCCAGTACCTATCCAATCTCCAAGCTCAACTACTTCACCGATGATCTCCTATTCTCGCATATTCATATACTGTCCTCTGTCTACATTGATGCCTTAACGATAAACTACTAAGTACTGATCGGTGTTCTGTTCTTGCCAGCCAGGAGCACGCCTCCACTGCCGCTACGCTTACTAAAGCAGGAAGCACTGTTAACGTTAGTGCAATTACTCTAAAATCTTACAGGTAGGGCCTTCCATAACCGTCTCCGAATAAATTTTGACTTATCTGAATTCGGACTCATCTGACAAGATTTTAGGATACGTATAATGGAAAAAGGACTTATTTATAGGGCAGACTTATCTGAAATGTCCATGGGACTAATTTATCAGAGTCAAGATAGCGGTCTTGTGTGTAAGACCTTAAGGCTGTAAGCTTTCAATTTTTACGTCGTTATTTGCGATCTGATTAGCACAAAATTCACTAAAAAATTCAAATAGAGAAATTAGGAGCTTCCCTCATATTGGAGCAATATCATCGGGTCCGATGCCACTGTTCGTTTCTCATATTATTAGTCTAGCTAGATGCTCTCGTAAGCGAATGATGGGATATCGATAATTCGCAGTTGCTTGCTAGCTCAAAAAGTTGTGGGATCTAATGTTCAGTGGAGGACTCCACGAAAAAATTTCATTAACGAAAAATTTCATAAGCGTTTGAAGATCTTAAAGTGTTTAAGCTATTCAAAGCAATGTCTGAAGAGTACCCGGTACAGCGTCTAACAGAAGGGATAAGCGGGTCGCCAGCACTTCCAGACAATCTTGCTTATGAAGTCGACGTTACTTCGACCGGTCGAGAGAGTGCATGTTGATAGGCACTTGAGACTACAGACCGAGAAAAACAATGTCCTTGCTCGAAACGAATAACAAAAGTAAGTGTTTATTGCTACTTTCATGGCTTAGTACATAGATTAAGAAAAAAGCAAGAGCCAAAAAATACAAAATACAAAATAAATCAGATAGTATAACCCGTCGGGTTGTTTCCCAGATGTGCTGACTTGTAACGCTCTTATTAGTTTAGAAGACAGTAGGCTCAAAAGAAAGAGCCAAGACACAGTTATAAGAGTACATAGACTGGTAATAGAATAGCAAAAAATGATCAGATGAAAAGATATGAAGCTGGAAAAGATTACATACTATACAAAATGTACATATGTGGCGCGATAGCATAATGTTTTGATTGGCATGTGAACACACTTCACGCACTAAACAGGTGAGTAGGCATGACTAATACCGATTGTTAGCAAAAGGGACAAATTTGAACTGCGACTAGAAATTTGCTTTTGAAGTTCGTTCCAATTGATAGATTACCCTAACAAGAAAGATGAAGCTGAACGCCATGCCTGCGACAAAAATAGTGCATCTAGTAGAGAAGCTGAATTACGCAAGGACGTCAGCATCGCTTTGTTCTGGCTCGCCATCATATTCAATACTTGACGTTCGTTGGCGTCTTGCTGGTACAAATAGCTCGCCGTCACCTTCAGATCCAGACGAGGCTGATCGCACACCACTGCCACTCGCTGCAGAGCATGAAACTGCGCTACCACTACGAGAGTGCTGTTTCCGGCTGGAAGCAATATGATTTGAATGAAAATACATACAATATTCTGTTAAACCATACCTTGTTGATGGCTGACTGCTTCCTCCAGAAGGAGTGTAACGACGGCTAGAGGGCTTATTACGACCGCTCATCCGTGCGGAAGATGGAAAATGACGCACAGGAGAGCAACATGCGTCGCGACGACTGAAATTCATAAATAACAAAGGAAGAGGACAAAAGTTGCAGTGCACATCTCATCCAGATGCATTCTACATACCTACCCAGTATCCGTTTGTCCTTCAACTCCAGAAAGGCCCGAATCTCCTTCTTCAGCTTTGCTTGCGCTCTCGGCATACTCCTCCATCAGCTCATCCTTTTCTTCAATCAAGTCCTAAGCCAAAACATTCTTGGCACATCTGATAAGCAATATTTTCGTAAAACATACCGACACAGGGTGTGAAGGTGACAACTCCCTGAGGGATGCATGACATTCATGTCGTTTATTAGGATCAGCAACATTAAAGAGCTCGAATTTGCGCAACTGAATGGAGAAATATAATTCAGAAGAAAAGGAAAAACAGCAAAAGACTCACTCTATTGTTTTCATCAAGATAATGGAACTGATACATGGAATCGTGGTTCTTGCTGTATTCAATGACATGTTGAAATGAGTCTTCGTTGTTAGTATCATCATATTCGGCCCAGTCTTGCAATGTGCTAGCGGTAGGAGCTTCCACTCGCACCTTCACCTGGAGAAGATATAATTAGGAGATTCTGACGGTGAAGTTGCAAAGTTGCTCACCTTAGCCTTCTTCTTCTTGTCACTTGCCTTGATGAAAGCTAGTTCTTTACGTGCATCTTCGCTGAGTTCAATCTCTGGTTCGCGTCTGGATACCACAGTTCGATAGCCTATCTCAGAGACCGGTAGCAGGCAGGCGAACCTAAACCTAAGGATGCTTAGTAAGAGTCCCAAAAACCAATTCTAACAACTATTGCTTCTTTTCAGTAGCTATTCAAATATGCACAAAATTGTACTTGTGAACAATGGAACGATTAACACACCCGCCAGATTCGCCGAAAAGCGCCCATGCCCAATTTTCTAGATCTTTTTTCACTTGACACCACCTGCTACCCTCGAATGCGTGTGAGGAAAGGCAAAAAGCTTGAAGAAAGATTTCAGCAATTTGTGCGCTTTGAGGGGCTTTGAGCACTTTTGGGTGAAATCTGCGGACGCCCAAGACAGCTGCCTTCTTGTGCATGTAGATTATGACTGATTACCAAGGTGCGTAGACAAAACGCCGCCGTGGTATCGTAAAACACCATATGTGTAAACAAATGCGCGATTTTGGCAGCAATCAAATACCGTAGATGGTTACAAATAGTTCTTAGTGGAGCTCAAGTGGCTCAAAATATCGCAACCATATCAAGCAGACAAGTCGGTATTAAGATTCGATGAGAAAAAACTCAAGTTTAACTTGTCGTTCGAACCGAAAAGAGAGATGGATCAACGTACTGGCTATATCGTGATTTCTGGCGTTCTATCTCCATTAACACAAAGTCAACAATCGCATTTATCTTGAGTCTCAGCCATTCCGGTGCAACAACAGATGACATCCAGACCGACACGCTGTAAAAAGAATCAAAGATGACATCGATATCGCTAGCTGTTATCAGTATGAATACACAAGCACATTAATTCAGGTCGGAAAAGAAGAAAAAACAACAAGAAATACTATGGACTTACTTTCTGGCCAACATGATCAACATGTCGATTGGCAATGTTCCTAGACCAAGGGCCGTACGCGCATAGCGGAACATTCGGAACGACAATAGGTATTGGAAGAAGGAATCCTCCGCAGCAAAAGCTTCATCAAATGCTAAAAAGCATTTCATTTCATATGATGAAAAGAAAAATGAGAACGGATGGGGTTCTCACTTCTAGTTATAATGGCAGGGAATACGTCGACCACTGAAGTGTTATACATGTGTTCACTTTCACAGCAAGTATCGCATTCTGACTCCAATCGTCTTCTGAGCATGACTGACATTACTCGCGCGATAAAAACACACTGAAAAATGCAAAGCTTACTTAGCCGTAGAAGCGCTCCTTTTGGGTAATCTGACTGGAGAAAACGGCTGTGCAATCCCTTCAGGAGTACATTCCCTCTTCTGATCGAGATCAACCTGAACGGTTAGACAGCGGATACACGGAGCCATAGCTGAAAGGTGATAACATTTTTCAAAATACGGATGAAAGAGAAAGGCAGAAACCATTTTTCGACAAAAATCGAAGAGCATCTTCAAAGCCTTGAAGGCACATTTTGGAGCAGTCTTCAGTCGATGGAGGCATCAAACAAGCTGTCATTCGGAAAAGATTGCGCGTGGTGAATCTAATGGATGTATTCGAGAAGCTGAATCCGAAGAAGCTGAAAAAAAACAAGTCAGATCTGAGGCGGGTTAGAGAACTATGCATTTTTGCTGTTTTTTTATTTTTAAAGACACAAACAACTGGCTAGAATTTTTTATGCGAAATCGAAGGACACTGTCAACTTTAACTGTTCTGCTTCAGAAAAACATACCTTGCGCTATCCCAGTCAGGAGGACAGATATCCGATTCGCCACAAAACGGGCTTACTGTCACTGTGTGATCATCGTAAACTGGCTGATTATCAGTGAAACCACCATCAATATAGGCTTCGCCCCGATATGTTGGTGGGTTGATACCGCAATAAATGGGAATGTAGCAGCTGCAGATAATCGCCTAGAACATCAAAGATCACGAAGATAAAGGAAAGAAAGATCACGGAACTTATTTGGAGATCAAAAACAACTCTGAGGGATAAAATCGGAAACTCACATCAACTAACTCCTTGTTAGAATCGTACTGTGTGACGACCACATTTTTACTATCTCTCCATCGAGTGAGAGAAATCTGCAGGCGATCAGTGCACCTAAAATGTGATCATGAGTAAGCAAAAGACGATATGCACAAATAACTACCTTTTATACGCATCTGGAGGCAGATAACGCTCAATTTCCGTCCGAGTTAGAGCAAGAAGATCAAATTCAGGATGCAGAGGACCCAAGGCGCGTGAGCGTGCCTAGAAGTTGAAGCGTTTTCGTTGAAATTTTAGAAATAAGGAAAATGTCAGAAGCAGGGATAAATTACCTGTGAGACAATCCTTAAGATCGTGCTAGTTACTTGTGAAACGCAAACATCTGTAACTAATGTAGCGGCTATGATAGCTCCAGCTGATGCTCCGGAGATCTTGCTTTGGATGAGATTTGGTGCGTATTCCTGTACGATAAGCAGTTAGTGAAAAAAAGGCGAGTAGTATTTACGGGATAAGTGATAAGCAAAAAGGACGAAGTTATCTATGCTGCATTTTTAGACAACAAAAAAAGATAATGAGCACTTCTTGTATATATTGTGTAATCACCACATAAAACACATTCTATTGAAAAAAAAGGGAAATTTGAAAAATGAAACACACCTTTATAGCAGCAGCGACTCCTGCATGGTAGATACAAAGAAATCCACATCCCGAAAATGATAGGTTCATCCGCTCCGGATAACTATTTACCATAGTCATCTTGTCCTGTAAAACAGTATAGAATATCTAGAACTAAACGAGAAAAGGACGACATAATGTTGTACAAACGTTGTGATAGGATCGAGAAAAGGACAATCGAGAGACTGGGGGGCAAGCCCGGGCGCAGCGCACATGTTATTGCACTAGCTTCAGCTAAGCGATCAAAAATCTCCTAACGACCAAAGCAACAGCTGTTTCTGCTGGGATTGGAGCCAGCCAATGCAAAATTCTCTTTTGTAAAGAGGTACGAATCCTAGAACTCTGCATGCAGTTAGTGCTACACAGTGAAGCAGTAAAGTCACAAATTTATCGCATAGCGCATCACAAACCAAAAAAAGATGTGATAAGGCAAAAATCGTAAAGATCGAACAAAAATGTTCAGCAAATGCTAGCATCTTTAGCTTGAGGCAGAGCTATAAATAACTTTGACAATTAGCACTGACTAATGGAGACGAAAACTGGTTATGCTGTGTATAAACAAGTCTGGAACTAGGTAACGATTATTTTCTATGATTATCAATTAGGTGACGAGTATTCCGGGAGTTGAATGATAATCAATGTATAACATGAACACTTTCCCCAACAAGTACCGGAAATGACAATAAGGAAATATTTGCCATCAAGAAAAGGTTACTTTAGTGCTTGAGTAGAAATTGTAAAACTTCTCAATAGCTAGTAAAAACACTGACTGAGAAGTGAGAACGCTGATCTCATCTATTCTGCACCCTTTTAACTTCATAAAAACAACAACAAAAAAGAACAGCTGATTAATTGGTCTACGCAGCATCAAAAGGTTCACAATCCAAAGTACGCTCAACGACGATTCCTGGAAAGAACCGTTCTTTGAAGCGATAACGTTATCGTCATAATTGCAGCCAGATACTTTTGCAGAAAATAAACGGCGAAATGCACGTCGCAGAACTGAAAGCGGACTGAATTTCGTCAGGCGGGAGTTGGACCGTGACTACACTAGACCGTAGGACGACGCTCTCAGATACTTTCTCCGGCTGGTGACCGGGCGACGACGGCCTTCCGGCTGAGGGCCGCGCCATGTTTTGGGGCGGAGCCTAAAACCGGCCGAGGAGCGGGCTAGAAACTACCACCGGCTGGCTTCCGGTCGCGTCCGCAAAAGCGCGCGAAGGCGCACAAAATCATGAATACCGTCAGATTCAATAGTGATTTCATCATCACTACGCGCCTTCCAAGACCTTTTGATTCTTGTTTTTTCGTGATCATTTTTGTGGTACTGAGTCTTTCTTTACATGCTGTTCGTGTATTGTCATGTTTCATCGCTCATCTTTGTTTTCAGTTTCAGCAGACTAGGAAAGCTTCCATGTCGTTACTAAACTGTCATATTGTTTGTGCTCGAAAATGTTTACTGGTGTTTTCATGTGATTTCCCTTTGTTATTTGGTCATTTGGTCTGCTTCCATCCCCACGAAAAAGGAAGACCCTCATAGGTACATGTTTGACATTTCTTTATCGACCAGCATATCCTCAAACATTTTTTAGATTGGGTGCGTTAGTTCACAAGTTGAAATGCTTGAGACTGCTAATGATGGAGTTTCCTGTGGTTGAGCTTGGATTATCTGCTTTGTCTGCTCCGGAGAACACTGTCTGTATAATAAGTGCTCTAACAGCTTGGTGGTTGGTTATTTATTGATGGTTGTCTGGAAAATAAGTGGACACATATGGAGATAAATAGTCTGTTCATCAGTGTTGTCCATGCATACTGCAACAGGTGAGCAATTTGTTTTTGTCTAATCTTCCTCTTTAGAATTGGAACTTGTAATGAATATATGGTTAATATGTAATGCGCATATGGATCTCTAATGCGGAAGAATAACACAACTTCAGCTATGCCGCAATGCTGTTGTAGTCTACTGCAGTTGGCTCTCATCTTCATAAGATCCCTATAATCTTTTATTGCAGGTACACGCGGCTAACTTCTTACTTTTTTGTGAGATATGTGCCACGAATCTCGGAGCGAAGTCGTTTCTTCTAGCTTCAGTTTCTAAGCTCAAGCCTACATGCAGATTTGCTCACTGTTTGTGTCGTGCATCCCAGAATTGCCCATATAAGCCATCAACGTGCCTGTCTTTCGATCGTTTCAACGCGTTGACTCCAGCAAATAAGGCGCTTATCCGAAGCTGACTGTCGAAATGATCGAAAGACAGCCACGTTGAAGTTCAGATGGGGACAGTTTTGGAGAATGCACCATATGTAATGCAATATGTTCTTTATATTGTGTTTACACATGTTGTATGTTGTACATATGTTGAACATAATTCGTGTCTTCTCTGTTGTCCCTCTTGTAAATATTAAATAAAATATTATAAGAGATTTTTGTATAACACTATATGACTAGAATGATAGTATAGTCAACGAAGCTAAACCTGGCGGGTCGTGCCCCAATAATTCGCTGCGCTGGGAAGCCGGCTGGCGTCCGCGCCGTTTGCATGCCAACACCGGCTGGCGGGCGGCCGGCGGCCGGCTCGCCCGGAATTGAGGTGTTGCCTCAGCCGGTCATCGCCCGGTCACCAGCCGGTAAAAGTATCTGAGCTAATCCAGAGCAAGCAGATGAGAGCTTTGAAACAGATGGTGCGTGCTCCTTTCAAATGAGCAAATATTTATTCGGACTACTAGCGGATAGCTTGCATAGACAAACACTTCCATATCGAGCAAAGGGCAGAAGCACACGGTATGTGGATGCTTTGAGTAGATAGCGCGTCAGATCAAGGCGAATAGTGCATTTGCACTACTGTTTGTAAAGTTTCTGCGTTGAAATGCGTTGAAAACACCAACTTAAGGTTTTCGATTGATTCGGGTGTGACTCATCGCATTTCAAGGTAGAGACAGATTAAATTTTAGATGAGTATTCATAGTGGTGAGAGGCATAGTGGTATGGGGCGCCGCTATGCAGCTCAAGCCCAGATTCAATCCGGCACTGGACCAACCAAGCCTTCTAAACCATCTACCCTCCGAGTACGGTAAATTGTTACCAGAGATCTGAGAGGATAAAAGCACTGACTTGGTAACCGGCTGGCACCAAGGCAAAGCAAGTACTGCGAAAGGCCTGCAGGCATTTGATACTTTTCGAGTATGAAATAGAGTGCATTTTATTGCATGTTTGAATCTTGAGGCTTGCCGTTTACAGAGCAAGCGTTCGTATTAACACAAACTGAGCCCTTCGTTAGCAACTGCGACAGAAAGATCACAATTTATTCTGAGGATAGAAGATTCGGGTAGGCTTAGTTACCCCGTTTAAAGTTAAAAACAATCTTAACTAAGGTGGATCACAAGTATGAACTTGTAATCACACGTTTGAGCTTTTTTAGACAATGTAGGTGAAGATATGTCGAAAAAAAGCCGCGCCCCGCCTCCCTCGTTCCACACCCCGCCCACTTTCCACTGAATGCTGACCTGGAAAGCTTCGGAAAGAGCTCATTTTCGCCATTTTCATAAGCTAAAAGCTCAGAGTTGGATTCCTCATGGCGAAAAAGCTTCGAAAAGGTGAAAAATTGGAAAAAAGAAATCCTACCGAGACACTTTTAAGTCATTCGTAACTCAATATGCACTCAATACTCAATATACTCAATATATATTCTGCACACTTCGCGCGGCAACTGACGGCCCTTACTAGTAACTCCTCACTAGAACCTTTTCTAGGTCAATAAACTGTTCAGAGCTGTACTGCTAAGTGATACATGTCCTATAACATCAGAGGAGGTATGAAAACTATGCGGAATCACTGGAAATGAGCTCTAACCTTGCAAGTTCGTCAAGTAGCGCGCATGATGTGCAATACGTATATAGAATTACAAATGGCTCAAGGTTACTCTTTCGTAGTCTCAGAATGAATGATACACAGAATAATTTTAAAGAAACGTCCAGAAATGGTCTGACTAAGACTCGACGACAAGCGGAAGCATTTGTGACCACAGCAGACATCGTTATTCTGCGGTGTGCGATGGCGTGATATCGCGCGACCGCAGCTGACGTGCAATGTTGCGCGCAGCGAAACACTCCACCTCTTATCCGCCTGACTTTTGGCTTTCTAATCTCAGTGATCTTGCAAAAGCACAAATAACCATATGTGCGGAAAAGCGACAATAAATGGTCGGGCTTCGGTATAAGTGAATGCAGAATCTAAGAGAGTGGTGAAGATGCACTGGATGTTTCTGAATTTACACCAGCTTCTAGTATTATATGTAATGACAACCATGCCAAAGTAAGCAACACCCATCTGCGATGAAATATCTTATCTAATAGAAAGAAAAATGCACAACAGCAATTCTTTTGTTTCACCACGGTGCAAAGTAATTATATGGCCCATACCACGAGTGGCTGTTCTTGCTCAAAAAATCGCGGTGATTCGACGCAAAAACAGCATTTTTATGTCTTCGATTGATTAGTGAGTGAGGCAAACGCGCTCCAGGGCTAACATCTGCAGAACCAATTTGTTTGCACTTGCACTTCCAAGAACGCGGAAGTTTTCTTTGCCGCAGTTAGTCTTTAGCTTTTGCAATTTGTGACTTTTGTACAAAAACAAGATGATCGTACTATGGCAGTTTGCCGGCGCGCAATTCAAAAAATCCCTTTGAAATCGACAAATGTCAAATGAAAGTTAGCGATAAAGCGCTCATGTGAATAGCATGCGATGGCTTTGCTGATTTCGCTGCAGAATGATGCTGTAAGAACTGAAATTTTCGTGGAGGTTTTCCCTATCAAGAATGCGCAAAGAATGTATTTCCGGAGGAGCATATACTAACTGCAATTATTCTACAGGGCTTTACTTCAAAAACTAGTGTACCTTGAATGGCGATGCTTACAATTACCCTAATTTCACGCGTATAAGGCGCACTTTTTCGAATTTTCAATCGAGCCGCTCAGCCGCTTCACTGTATTCCGGAAAGAAATCCTTACATCGCACGACTTTCTTAAGCAACATACAGCACGTTATAGGGTCCTTTGGTTGCAAAGTCCTTTCGCTTGTCTGGGCTGCGATT